ATATATATTTGCCCACGTGGACATAAAAAATAATGCAAAATTATAAAAAGTAATGTGTCCACGTAGGCACATATATACCTTTAAAATACACTATTAAATAGTTCAGGGGTAAAAAATACGGTATTAAATAGTCTAGAGAGGTAATAGGTCCTTATGAAAGTTTAGTATCGCAACAACAAATCCGACCAAAGTTGGGGTATTTTTCAGACCCTTATCCCTAGATAAAAGTAATAGGTTATGTGGAATAATATAGAATTTATACCTTTATGTGCATGACGTGTTTATGTATATACCTTGTATTTTGAACCTATTGGCATATTTAAAATCTTGAAATAACATGCTAATAAATTAAAACATTTTAGAAATATTTGATTAAAAAAAAGTAAGAATAAACAATATATTTTATAAAGGGATGATGTAAAGAGTATAAAAATAGGCCTAACTATTGAGACTTATTCAATAGTTACATTTATTTTGTCAAATATATAAGCCTACTTCCCTACTTATTTTCTTAAAAATACGTATGTCTAAAGGTGAATATCTTCGCCATAAGTAATTTCTAAAGATAATTATTCTAGTCTTTAAACTAATTTCAAATTTATTTGGAGATCCTAAACGATGAGTAGGCCTAAATGAATATTATTTTAGCCCTTTCGAAACTTCATTTGGAAAACTTTTAAGACTATAAGCCCCTCTTTTCAACTTAAAGAGCCTGACAGAATGTTATAAGTAAAAATGCTAACCCCTTTTTAAAGAAAATATTTTTTGTATCATTTGTTCTAAAAGTGTTTCAACTAAATTCATAAACAAATAATATTAGCTCACATAAATAATCTTCAAAATAAAAGACAAGCAATATATCAAAACATGTAAGCGAAAGTTAACCAACATATCAAAACAACATAAGTAGGACAACGTAAGAAAGGCTAAGAAAACATTGGTCTCCTAATTTGTGAGACTCCAAGCGTTGTGATGATCCTAAGTGCTATTGGCCTAATATTTTAGGCCAATAATGAGTTCCAAAGTAGAAAATCCAGCCCTCCGGTTGTACATGAAACACAAGAAAAATAAAGAGATAAAGATTAGTAACTAATTAAATGGTATAATAATGTAAATATGCAAACAAATGTGGGCACACATCAAACAATGACGTCAATTACTAGAAGGCCAAATGTTTACGCAGTGTGTGGTGACCTTTCAAGGTCTGCCAAAGTTGCCCTTTTTTAAAAAAAACTTACATAATGCTTACACAGTGTGAGACAAACCAAATCAGGCATGGTAAAATATATAAGCTAATCACCATTAGCTATATACATAGTTTTGAGATTCCATAAATGGGATGAGCCAATGAATAAAAAAACAATGTGACATCTCATAGTTTCTTGTAAATTAAATTTCCAACAACAAATTAGAGAACTTTTACTTAACAAACTTAAGCATACAACTATAACATATACATTCACGTTCCGACAATTTGTACCTTGACTCCTTGTTTAAATCTTAACACAATCTAGCGACCATATATTAGGGAAGAAATTAAGATAAGGCATCTTTACAATTCTTGAATGACAATGAGTGCAGTACTCACATATTCATGAAAGAAAATTAATAGCACTTGCATTTTTGAGATGATCTGTGTAGATGAAAGAAGAGAAGGCAGAAGCAAAAGCAAGAATTACACATAAATAAAGAGGCAAGACTTTGAATCAGCAAATTCCCTCCATTAACACATAAAAGGGTATAGGGAAGCAAAAATATGAATTTTAAATGGGAACTCGACTAAGAGAAGTATATAGAACAGAATAACTAGAATATCATTCTCTTTGTTATTATTTAAGCATAACAATGTTGTAACTCAAAAATGGTGGGTTAGTAGTCTAACACAACAAAAGAGGCGACACTTGAATGAACAGGTTCAGGATGATTAAAAAAAGGACACCAAAATAGGCTTAAACAACTTAAAGCTTGGATTCGCAGATCATCTTTAGGCAAAAAATGAAGATCCATAAACAACAAAATAAACTAAGACGAACGAGACAAGTTAATACTATACATGATATGGTTGCGAAAATCAAGATTATGAATAGTGATGATTTTTTAGCTCACGAAATCAACTCAAAATACACTTTCGACCTCCATATATACTCGAATCATGTTCACAAATAAAGACAAAAAAAAATCTCAATCATACACATAATCCTCATCCTTACTAAACTATTAGAACAAACAAAGCCAAAATAAGAAGAAAACTTTGAGAGAGATGAAGTTCCATACCTTTTCTGGAGCAGCAAACTAGGGAGGTTACGTCAAGAATTCCAATTGCAAACTCTTCTTCAACTCGAATTAAAACAAATCGAAAACAGAGGACAGAAAGATGATTTTACAATCCCTGGCGATCACAATGGCGCACCCTGTAGTATTTTCTCTCTATGAATTTTTTACCCTTTTTTTTGTTTGTTGCCTGATTTTTCTCGATTCTTGTATGATTTTTTTTTAGTGATTATCCTCCCTTTTTATTTTGAATGAGAACCGAAGTCCTCCTTTTATAGTCGATTTGGGGTCCAAGAATTCAAATTTTGAATTCTTGAAAACACCTATCTTAGAGGAAACAAC